AAAAATTTTCACGGGGCCGTACGTGTTACCCGCAGGTACGGGAAGGCTGAATTTGAATGGGCAAGGTTGAGCGTGGGCAGAGGCTCATTCCCCTAAAATGTCAGCTTCCTGGACCCCGTGGTTCCCGAGATATTAATGTACCCGTGAACAATTTTCACGGGGCCATACGTGTTACCCGCGGGTAAGGGGAAGCTGAATTTAAATTTGCGGGGTCACACGTAGGTGGGGGACGTTCTCCTAAATTTTCAGTTCCCTTGCTTTTGTGGTTCCCGACTTGAAAGTTGCGGACAAGTTGCTGCGGACACACACACAGACAACCCCATGACAATATGCGTTTTGCACTGCTGTCACACAGCACAAAACGCATGAAAACTCGGCTTGGCTGGGCAGGTAATCTATGGTGCTTGGGACTTCCAGCGCTTTGCCCTATCATCTCTGCCAGCAGTATTTCGCGGCGTCGCTCGCTGGAACTTTGCCAGACGCGCCGGGTAGCGCCGCTCTGGCGGCTGAAACACGTGGCCGAGGAGAGGGGTGGTGGATGGGGGATTGGGCGTGGTTGGGGGGTGTTGGTTGGTAGATTCCGAGATACAGCTCAGAGGGTGTGATTGAGGCCGGAATAGTGGGGAGGAATGAATCGCTGGTTAGGAGTTCAGGACGAAAAACGGTGGCAGTGGTTGGAGGTGGTGGGGGTCCCGATGCGGCTCTGGAGGCAGGGACTGGGGACAAGATACAGGAGGGAAAGAAGGGTGTTAGTCAGGAGTTCAAAGCAAGAACTGCAGATAGCAGTAAAGAGGAAAATAAACCAACACGGCACTGCGAAGAAAAGTAAATTAAAACAAACCTGAATTTGTGAATAAAAGGAAAAAAAAAAGCAAAATCAAAGAATTGGATCCTGTAACCAAAAGCAAACAAAAACTGAGCTTATGCGATTAGGATTTGTCTTACAAAAACACGTCTTCAGTAAGTGGTTCCCGCATTTGTGAGGTTTATGCTTAGGTAAAGCTGAGGGCAAATAAGTCCAACTGGATTACACAACAATTGCAGACAGTTCCATAGCGTTGCCTCCTGCAGCCCTGCAACTGTGCATAACAGTTATACCTTTGTTTTTTTGTCTTCAAAATCTCACAGAAGCAAAGGCTGACTTCATCCTCAAGCATCCATTCCACCCTGTTTTTGCGCATTTCATGGAACTTATTCGCTCTCAGCTTTACCTAAGCATCACTTTCATAAATAGGGAAGTTTGATGATGGGTTTTTGTGGAACAACTTTACCTAAGCATTACTTTCATAAATAGGGAAACCTGATGACGGGTTTTTATGGAACAGCTTTACCTCAAGCATCAGTTTCATAAAAAGGGAAGTTTCCTACTGACAACGGTAAAAACCAGGAACACATATCCTCATCCTTTCCGTTCTTCACCGCTCTCCTCTCCCTTCCCAATGTACGTTACTTAGTCGACCGGCAAAGGATCTACGCCATTTAGTCCTTATATCCACCTATCCTAGTCCTCCTCCCTTGCCTCGAACGAAATCCGCCACATACCACCCACACTTCCATCTCCCACATTCAAATTGCCGCCATCCGCCGTGGGGCAGCCCTACCCGCCGTCGGGAGAAAAAACTTTTAGTGGCTTGTGTATAAGACGAGCCGAGTTTCTTCAACTACCCGTTTCGCCGTACAAAAATGCAGTGCATAATGGCAATTGCTATAACTCAGCTCGGCAATCTCTGCCAACGCTTTCGCGGTGAGGCGCGCTGATTCCGCTTGGCAATTTGACATGGGCAGCGCTCGGCAACTGGAACGCGTCGTGGGGGGAGGAGGCGGAAGGGGGCAGGAGGGAGAGCGAGAGGGCGGGAGGGGAAGGGGGATGGTGGGTGAGTGCCCAGATGCAGCCCCAGGGCACGGATTAGGGCGAGGTAGAGGAGAGAAACAACGGGGTTAGTGCTGGTTACGGAACAATTAGTGGTGATAGTGGCTGGGGGATGGTGAGTAATGAGTGTACAAATGCCGCTCTGCAGGCAGAGTTTGGGGGATAGAATAAAGGAGGGGAACAAGCTTATTTATGAAACTGTTTATAAAACTGATGGTTATGTAAAGCAGAGAGCTCTCAGTTTTACCTTTTTCGCTTTTGTTTTACCCAAGCATCAGTTTCATAAATGAGGAAGTTTTTTGCTGATAACAGATTTTTCATTTGCTGAAAGCTTGTCTGCAGTAGGAGGCTTCCGTATTTATGAATCTGATGCTTAGGTAAAGCTCAGAACTCTCAACTTTACCTAAGATATCAGCTTCACCTTATTCGCTTTCAGCTTTATAGATGGGGAAGTCCCCTACTGATGGCGGTTTTTCGTTTGTTTTTCTCGCTTTT